CAATTTGGCAGCGAGTGGTTAGCGCAATGCTAATATACATGGAAAAACCCATAGGAATGCTAATGCTAATATCACCGATTACATTATTACAAATGATGAATTAGAAACGTGCCAAATGATTACATTTGGAGTCTAACAGAAAGTAAAACTACCATCAATCAAATAAGTACAGACAGGTATTTTAGTAAAGCCAGAAAACTTTTAACTCCAGAGTTTTGGCTAGCAGCTGTGAGCGTAACTGAACTACGCATGGACAAGACGTCAAAAACTCTAAACACAAAGTACTTCAATAAACGGGACACACTACTATTACACAGGTGTTGCTAATACCTATGATTCTTCAAGGGATGTGCTCAAAGAGGAGTTCAACATTATGAATAAAATATAGTGTTTTATTTTACAAATACCATTATAAACACAAACTTACGTCATAAGAAACATTATTTTAATAACAAAACTGCTAAATTCTTTCCAACAGTATAGATGTGTAGTGTATTTTGTCCGAGTGGGTTTGCCGTACTTTGACGTCATCGACAGTCGAAGGACCCCGAGCCGATCATACCGACACCGGCATTGGTATCTCCAATTAAAAAAACAATATTAGTCCAACCTACTACCCCTTATATAACAGCTGATTCATACATTATTTCAACGCTTAACATCCAGTAATTCACCAGTTTATAAGTAAAACGAAAATCAGATTTTACACACACCATGAAAACAGTTCTGTGAGCCACCGTTTGCATCAAGAATGTTTGTCAGACGTCGTCTGGTCTATAGGGCGAAGCAGCAAACTTAGACTGAAACGCTAATTTTATGTCCTGATAACAAACAAAGCCAGAGGCGCTGGTGGCCGTCTGCTGATGAATCAAATAGATGGATCTGCTAATTCTGGAGGGGTGTGTGTCCGAGGAAAGAAACCGATCAGGATAATGGTGAGAAATAACCGTTTTTAGAGGCCCGAAGGAGGAGGAAGGAAAGACTGAGATTTTAGGATAGCTGCGAGTGACGGAGTAACTGCAGAGTTAATACTTTTGGCAATGAACATTTAGGTTGATTACACTACTTTGACTTCATCAGAAAGTGACCTTTGAGAACACTAAATAAAACCAGTTACCGTGATGGAGTTGAAGCAACAGTGAAGCGGCATATTGGGTTAGAACTGATTGGTTTAAAAGGTTTTTCATCTTTAGTGGCGGAAATCACCGCCTTCCTGTTGTCTGCGAACAGCCTTAAACATTCACCTTCCCTCCGCGCTGATAGGATTCCTTTGTTTACTGCTGTCTGTTCCCATGGGAATGAAAGCGGCTTTAGAGTTCAATGCTAAGTGCGAACTGCCCTGCATTCCCATGTACTGTAAAACAACGGGGGGGGGCACCAGATGAGCCTGCGTCTTGACAAGGCTAGACACGAAAAAAGAACAAAACAGTCCTCCGTCAGTGAGAAAGAACAAGGAAGGCTGGCATTTCTGAAAATATCAGATTCTGTTTTGGGAGAATTTTACAGTTTAAGGTCAACGCAGAAATGACTGGAGCAGGAACTTTTGCCGAGTTTTGGGAAAAACGTGTTTCCTTCCTGACGCGTGTTTGGGTTTGGTTGTTGTTTGGGCGAAGGCCGGTGCAGGTGAGGTTATGGAGGAGGAGGAGGAGGGGTTAAGGTGTTAGATGGACACCGGTTGTTCTGGCTGTTTATCATTAACACAGCCTAGCCCAGAGGGGTCCATCTGCTTTGATTTTATTTAGTGATTCCCCCCAGGGACCCGGCGCTGGAGTGAGAATAACAATACTTCAGCCCATCTGTTCCGGCAGAAAGCAGCCCGGCTAAATTACCACACACTACGAGCGGCTGGCATATGCTGTGGCATAAAGCTACAAGAGGGCATTGTGCACCAGCTGTTCTGTTGACAAATACTTATCTGGCACTTCTGAACTCAGCTTGCTGCGCTGGTTTCAAGTTTGTGCAGAAACTAAACAGCGTAAGGTGTTGGGGGGGGATGTGTAATACATGCTGATTTATCCCCGAGTATTGTTTTGTCAGAAGCCGTCTGGGGAATTGGGTCACTGGATGAAGATTTAATCTGAACATGATACAGATAGTCGACTGGAACCCAGGCCAAACAAACAATATCTAATCTTAGAATTTCCCTCTGGGATTAATAAAGTATCTTTGAATTTGAATTGAATTTCTCATCCTCCATTGAGCAGCAGCATGTAATCGTATTGTTTTTCATGCGGATGATCTCCATGCAGAGGACTAAATTGGGCTTTACTGCAGGAATCCTATCAGGGAGGACATTCAGAAACAACAGAAGGACGGTGAAAATATGCCACCGTGTTTGTGACTTTTAACAGATTTCACATTTTGGGGGTTAGGCTTAGCTGCACCTCTATAAGCAGCCTCTGTTTGGGGAAACGGGGAATAGTTCTGATCCCTCTGATGAATCCGAACTGGGACAGTTGCAAAGCACCTTCATCCTTTCATCCACACAAGGAACTTCATCTGGGAACATAAGCGTTGTGTTATAATGAAATATAAATCTAAGAATTATTCAAACTTGATCAGAGTTTTTCAACCCGGGTCCTCCTAGCCCACTCACTGACCAGCATGTTTTAGTAGTTTCTCTGCTTCGACACACTTGATTCAATGGTTGAATCACCTGTTCAGAAGCTAACCAGGCTGATTAAAGTCTGGAGAGTTGGGACAGAAAAACAGCTAAAACCCTGAATACGTGACCTCAAGGACCGAGTTGGGACACTACTGTACGAGTTCTTTGGAATACTGAACAAATTTAGTATTAGATTACATGTTTTGATGATTAAAAGTTTACGCAGAAAATTTTAATTTTAAAAACGATTTTCCTAAATATAACTGTGATGCAAACACGGGTGTAATTTTTGGGGGGGACAGGGGGGACATGTCTCTCCCCCCCCCCCCCCCCTTTTTTTTCCAAAGTCAATTTTTGTCCCCTGCCCTTTTTACTGTCCAAAAATAATATTACACTTTATTAAATAGACTGGTTGGGCACTAGGACCAAGAGTTCAGCTAGAATCTGAAGTAAATTAGCTCTATTGATCAGATATTTTAAAAATAAGTGTAAAACGGTGACAATGAGTAGGAATGAAAATAACTGACAAGGTGAAAAACAAAGTTGAATTGAAAGTATTAGTCTTTTGTTGTACTGCCACCTGTGTACTTCACCATTCTGCATTCCTGACGTAAAATGCATAAAAGAGCCTCTTGGCTGTAGTTTTATACATAATGTTGTGTACTTACTGTAAAGACCCCCCCCCCCCCCCCCCCCCCAAAAAAAAGAGCAAACATGACATTACATAGAAAACGTCACTCACCAGCGTTGTTCACTTCTTAAACGTGATCTTTCATCTTGAGAGAATTCAGTGACTCTTCTGTTACAATCCAATAATCCCACTAATGTAATCCAGCAAACCCAAACTGGTGGAGACTTTCCAGCCGTGTAGCCTCCCGTCAGCAGGTGCTCCCCTCCCTCACTCCCGGTCCGACTGCTCTCCCTGTTTTCAACAGGTACCAGTGTTGTCTTTTCATAGTTAGCTAAAGACTTCAGGTTTCATCTCTAACTTTTGTTCACGTGGGAAAAAATGACCTTCATTGTTTCTTGTTGGCTAACCAGCATGACCAACATGGCTGCTGCTGTCCCACAGGACATAAGCATGAACTCACGCCTGGTTTTCTCAGCTACTGATTGGATGATCTGAGCTTGGGGCCGGAGTCTCTGGGCCCTACGGCTTACCACTGAGAATGAGTTGAGCGTGTGCTTCCGATCTCCCATGTTTAAAACGACCACATCTCCGGTTTTTAAAGAGGACTACTGAGCTCGTCACTATTCTGGCAAAACTTAAACGCACAAATGTTTATAACAGAATCCTTGGGCGACAGAAAGAGTTTCTATCCAGTATTACTCTACAACAAATCATTCTGTTCCCCCAATTATTTTAGGCACACATGGAGCTCCGCAGCGCCATCTGGTGGGGCCCAGCCATACGGGCTACAGGTGGTTCAGAACGCCTGTGCTCGGCTTCTGACCAAGTCCTCCAAACACACCCACATCACCCCGCTTCTCCTCCAGCTTCACTGGCTGCCAGTCAACTTCAGGGTTCATTTCTAGATCCTGGTTCTGGTCTATAGGGCCTTACATGGACAAGCACCATCTTACATTGGTGATCTTCTTAGTCCCTACACCCCCAGCAGGTCCCTGAGGTCCAGTGATCAAAGCCTACTGGTTGTGCAGCACCAGGCTAAAGGTCAAAGGTGACAGATCATCTGCTGCTGTGGTCCCCAGACTCTGGACCTCTCTCCCCCTGAGCCTGAGATCAGTGGACTCAGTGGTCTCCTTTAAAGAGCAGCTGAAGACTCACTTGTTCAAGCTGGCTTTTGTATGACCTTCTTCACCTCTCTCTCTTTATTCTGCTCTCCCCACCTATTCCACCTTCCTCAGGATCCACTGATTTCCCTCTTTCCTATTCACTCTCTCTCTTTCTTAACATTTTTAATCACAATTGTCTATTTTTGCTCATTTTAATATATTTCTAAACATTTTCTAAATGCTTTTTTATATTTTTACATTTTTTGCTTTTGTGAAGCGCCTCGTGATTTTTATCTTGAGAGGCGCTATAGAAATTATATTTTCTTCTTCTTCTTCCAAAATAAAGTTGTTCAAAGAGATATATACAACTGGTAAATTACGTTACGTTAACTTAAGATCTTCAGATTCTAACTTTGTTTTCTTTTAAAAGAGCTAAAAATAAAGTTTTGTTGGATGTTTGAGTCATTTAGCAGATGAGTTTATCCAAGCCTGACATAAGCAGAGGAAGTCTGGGAATCAAACCTGCAACACTCTGGAGGAGAAGGACTCTCCGTTCTGGACTACAGCTGCTCCATGTTTTTGTAACAATAACAAAAAATAAAAGCTTCCTTCTCATAACTCCACGTGTCCTCGGTGACCTTAATGAGCCCTCCACCTGCAGTCAACCTGTCAAAATGAGCTTTATTTAGTTGACATTAACAAGAACATCACAGACATTAACTTTTCCACCTGTTACATTTGCCTACGCTGTATAGATGCAACAGAAAAACAAACAAACAAACAACAACAACAGGCCTCCCTCTCTTCTCAGAACGAGGAGACGAGCGTGCAGCAAAGTTCACGCAGGAAGTCCTTCTGTCGAGATCCGCGCAACAGAGAAAACAACCAAACTTGGATCGGTCATTTAAAAAGGAAACAAAAAAAAAAAAACTCCCAATTAAATCCACGATTAAAATGTTTAGGAAAATATTTAAATACTCATCTTATCTAATGCTGATGGTTGTACTTTGTTGCTTTTAACCAATTTTCTGTGATATGTGGGAACAAACGGCCACTTTGGCCATTTGTTCTGTAAAACTGATGATTCTAGTTTAAATAAAACATCTTATTTAAATATTTAATGCACTTTTGTGCGTCTTCATTTCCACCAATCAGTAGTTGCTGTGAGACGACGTGAAGTACAAGAACTCAAATATACAGTGAAGGCGGACGAGTAGTACCCAAGTCTCGCAACGCTGTCGACCCTGTTTGATGCGACCTGTTATGATCAGAGTAATAAATAATGTTTGTTGATGAACGTTTCCGTTATCTGGTGCAAGTCCGCGGGAATGCGAGCGCGTCACGCGATGACGAAAGGCAGCGAGAGTCGAGACTTGCTTGAAAACAAAAACGGAGCCTGCCTGGAGGAGCAGGGGAAAGGCTTTGTAAACATAAACCAGCGTTTGGACTCGCTCGTCACCAGCGTGAGCCAAACGTGCGTTCCTCCACAAACACCTCCAAGGGGAAAAGGGAGCCCGACCTTTCCGGTTTTTCACCTCAGAGCGTCGCTTTTTCCATTCAGATGCGTCTCCGGAACCGCTCACGTCTCCCCGACAACAAATTAGCACTCTGTGGCTTCAAATAGCTAAAATGTTCCTTTTTATGGGGGCGGAGGAGATGTGCGTCTTATTCTGAAAAGCACGAACAGGTTTTCACACGGCAAGATGGGAAGAATCTGTGAACCAGTTCAGGCGGAGCAGAGAGGTCCGGTGTGGACGCAGAACCGGAGGACTTTTATACTGAAAGGACGACTTTAACGCGAGCTCAAACGGGCTGGAGCAGCTTTTCCACACCGTGTTGCTTCCTAAACGTGCGCTCGTGAAAAGCTCCCATCTTTACAGTGATTAAGAATAGCAGGACTCCTCTTTTCTTAAGGTAAATGAGGTGAGCGAGGTCCTCCCACCAGCTCCTTCTGTTTTTCCTGCAGAGCGGCCTTCCGCCCGTCTCCTTCCTCCCTGAGCAGGGAGTGACTCCTCGGAAAGCCGACCGTCGCTCAGCTGGGAGACGCAGGGAAGCTACATAGGACTACGCGATGAACACAACACTTATGCACAGTGCAAATAGGCTTCTCGCGCTCTCCTTCGCCTCTCTGACCTCCAGAAGCGGGCCGGCGCTGAGGAGACGTGGGTGGGTTCCTCAGGGCAGCCCCCTGGTGGCAGACACCTCCTTCGGTTCATGCTGTAAAGTTCTGGTCGTTCAGGGAAGCTGCTGGCCAGAGGGAGCGGTGCAGAGGAGGAGAGGTGGTGGCGGTGTGTGTGTGTGTGTGTGTGTGTGTGTGGGGTTCTACTTGTACAGGCTCATGGTCGGGCTCTGATACATGCACATGTAAGCGTCACAGAGCAGGCGGCGTGCCTGGCCCTGGATGCTCTTGGGGTCTAAGGTGTGCAGCTCCTCAGGGGTCATCTTCAGGTAGGCTTCCACCTCTGGACAGGGAGACACCTGAGGGATGTTGAAACCGTTCTGTCCACCTGGAGAAACAAGATGGAAGCTTTTAAAAATCTAAACTCCTGATGTTGGTTTAAAGTTCCTCTCGTGAGACCAAACAGGAGAATCCAGGATCCGGGGACACCCACCGTCGCGGTCAGCCATGCTGTCAAAGAAGAGCCAGGCAGAGTCGGCGGCGCCGTACTTGACGAAGGCCACATAGTGGCTGGTTTCGATGCACAGCACGGCGAACAGCTCCATCCGCTGGCGGGGGAAAGTGCCCTGACGTCCTGTACCCTCCTGCAGCTCCTTGGGGACGGACAGTTTGCTGTGTCGGTGAGTTTTCCTCTTCGGGTGGAGGTGAACCTAAATGAGCACAACCAGACATCGTCCCAAATCCTTCGTGTGGTTTAATAAAAAAACAGACTAAAAAGCATAAACAACATTAAAACACCAGAAAGTTCTAACTGAAGATGAAGAACTCTGCAGCACAACAGACGATGGGATTCCTTTGGATTTGGCGCCACCTGGTGGACGACAGGCTAACTGATTACCTGTGTGTTGCACTTTTCACAGAACTGCTTAATCTTGCCGGCCGTGATGTCCCCGTCCTCATAACAGTCTCTGCACTCGTAGAGAGCCAGGCCGCCGCAGATGCGACACTCTCTTGGAGCTAAAATTTCAAAAGAGAGAAACTTTGTTATAAGACCCCACCCGGCTTCCAATCGCCTCTACGGAAATGGAAAACAACTCACTGTCCTCCAGAAGGTCTGTGATGTCCAACTCCAAGGAGGGAAAGATCTTGTTGAACATTTTGAAGTCCTTTCCAAATCGAGGCATTTGAATGATAAGGCAAGAGGGAGCCTGAGGGAGGAAGAAATGATGATAAACACATTTATTTACCCAGGTGGTATCCAAGGTTGCCCCCAAGTTGTGGCCAGGGGTGGCCATGGCCACCCCTAGAAAACTGCTGCCCCCCACCCAGAAAGGGCAGTGTTAACAAATCATATTAATGTTCAGTCAAACCATATATTGATCTTGTTTATTCAAGACATAATTAGTCGTCGTCGTCTTCCTCTGCTTATCCGGGTCCGGGTCGCGGGGGCAGCATCCCAACTAGGGAGCTCCAGACCGTCCTCTCCCCGGCCACCTCCACCAGCTCCTCCGGCAGGACCCCAAGGCGTTCCCGGACCAGATTGGAGATGTAACCTCTCCAACGTGTCCTGGGTCGACCCGGGGGCCTCCTGCCGGCAGGACATGCCCGAAACACCTCCCCAGGGAGGCGTCCAGGAGGCACCCTGACCAGATGCCCAAACCACCTCAACTGGCTCCTTTCGATCCGGAGGAGCAGCGGTTCTACTCCGAGTCCTTCCCGAATGTCCGAGCTCCTCACCCTATCTCTAAGGCTGAGCCCGGCCACCCTACGGAGGAAACTCATTTCGGCCGCTTGTATCCGCGATCTCGTTCTTTCGGTCATTACCCAAAGCTCATGACCATAGGTGAGGATTGGGACGTAGATCGACCGGTAAATCGAGAGCCTGGCTTTCTGGATCAGCTCCCTCTTCCCCACGACAGATCGGCCCAGCGTCCGCATCGCTGCAGACGCCGAACCAATCCGCCTGTCGATCTCCCGATCCCTCCTACCCTCACTCGTGAACAAGACCCCGAGATACTTAAACTCCTCCACTTGAGGTAGGACCTCTCCCTCGACCCGGAGTTGGCAAGCCACCCTTTTCCGGTCGAGAACAAGACATAATTGTAAAACAAAATAAAAAATTACAATTAATGAGAAAAGAAAGCATGATTCTGCAGCTCACCATTCTAAAAAAGTTTTTATTTCCATAGTTTGTTTTTTTGTGAACACAGCAGCAGGTGAATTAACCTAAAAAAATACATTTTTAAATTAAATTTGGGATAACATTTTAAATAACTGAAATGTTTGTGTTTGTAAAATTTAAGTGTTTTGGATACGTACTCGTATTTTAATAAAAACGAATAAAGGCGCAATGCAGCACATCGCCACACACTAAATTCAACCAGAGTTGCCACAAGGACCAGTTTGGTGTGCCACCCCAAAAATTTCTTGGGCCCCATCTGGCCACCCCTATCAAAATTTTCTGGAGGCGCCCCTGCTGGTACCACGGTGTTACAGGTGAGACCTGCTCTAAAAAGTTCTCCTTTATGTTAAAATACATTAAAACAAAAATATGTTCAAATCCTCATGATGACTTTAGGTAAACGGTTAGCTCGTACGAAAAGACAAAAGCATAGTTTCATGGTTTATGAAGATTATTCCACGGCCACAGCAGATCTGCAAGATATGGCAACATGTTTTATGCTTTATTGTTTATGTCATGGTTCGATTTAAACAGAACAACCCAAGGAGCTCTCTCCTAAACGAGCTATAGCGTTGTCAAATCTGGATGTAATCAAATAAATCTGGCTTCTTCTGGCCATCCGCATTTTGCTCTGATGTTTACAATGAATATTTTAACCACAGCAGCGGGCGTGCGAGTCGCTGCTGTGACGAACGAGAGGCCAGGAACCGGAGGTGAGCTGCAGGGTAACACGTTTAACCTTAAGCACAAAGTTTCTTTGTTTTTGCAGGTCTTGATGTTCAGTTGCAGTTATTTTGCAGTTTTATTTGGTGCTTAATCATGACTGGACCCGGCCTCTGACAGCGGCCTTGAAGAAGACGTGAACCTGCAGGTGAGTTTCATAATCTGAGCCAATAAAAGGATAACTTAAGCTGGGCGGACACTGTGCGACTTTTTCACTCGTAGCACTCAGCTTCAGTTCAAACTGTACGACTTCCTCGCAGGGTAGATCTCACGAGTCATGTGCTCACACTGCACGTCTGGTAGCAACACGTCGGACCTAGAAATATGCTAAAAATAGCAGTTTTTACTCAACACGTCAGACTTTTTTGTCTTGCCTGTTGTCCTTCAGGAGTGCTGCAGGAGGACACACAGGGATTTATGGGGGTTGGATGAGGAAAACCAAATAAAGAAAGTAAATCTGTGTTTTGTGATCAGTTTAATTTGACATGAACACGACAAACACGCTTTCTTGACAATCTTTGTGAGTAAAAAACGTGTAGAAACAAAAACGAACAGCGTGTGTTATTAGGGAAATAGCGGGCGAGCGGTGTTGATGCAGGATTGCGCATGCGCCGTGAGCGGTTCTGGTACTTTTTGGGTCGCAGCTGCTCGCAGCGCCGCTTCAACAGTGCGATACCCTCACGAGGGACGAGCAAAATATTAGAAACTCCAGAAGTCTGTGCGAGCTCACGATTGCTGATCGGTAGCTGGTCACGTGGTGTTAATCGCCTCTCGTAACCCCTGTACACTACACGACGCTCGGCGCTAAACTCGCCCCGATCTTGTGGATTCTCGCACGAGTGGAAAATCGGCTCAAAAAAGTGAAAAAGTCACACAGTGTACGCCCGGCTTACGTGAAAAGGGAAACATGAAACCTCCCTGGATGAAATGCTACACGACCCCTGAGACTGGGGTCACCACGAGGAAAAAATCGGACTCACAACAGATGTAGGGCTGAACGTGACAGTGACCTGGGCCTGATTAGTCCCGACCCGACCGTCGGGAAAAACCCACCTGCAACTTTAGAGAGGAGCGAGTTCGACAGGTGTTTAACAGGTAAAGCCCGTATGTCACTGGGCTCGGGCCTGTTTTTCTGTAAAATCACAGAAAAAGAGAGATGCTCGGGTCGAGCAGGCTGCTTCATGCGCGTTCACGCTCAGGCATCGCCCGTAGCATTTGCTATCCGTAGCTTTAGCAGCAGAGAGAGAGGCAGTGCCACTTTGTCGCTGTTCCTAACGCCTAGTGACAAAGCTAGCTACATTTCTGAGGACCCTTAGCTACTTTCTGTAGAACTTTCTTCTAGATATTTCCTGCTAATTAGCAACAAAACAGCCATTTTCACTCCGAACCGTTCTTTGGACGTTGTTTCAAGGATATAAATGTTACAGATACACAAGACGTCACTGGTGTGTAGCTCACCTAGTTAGACGTCGGACTCTCGTGCGGAAGACCTGGGTTTGATTCTGGATGTGAACATAGTTTATTTAGAGTTTATTTTTTACATTAATGGTATATATTTTTACAGTAAGATGCTCAAATTTTTATTTGAGACTCGCCGAACGGCATTGAATTCACAGATAAAAAGATGTGGGTTCAACTTTCATTTTGGAACAATTTTTCAAGCAAGGGAAGGGAATGATCTGAGCATGCAGGAGGACTGACCCATCATAAACCTTTGTCGGCTGTGCTGAAGAGAAAGGTACAGAACCAAAGTATTTAATTAATTAGCTGCGCGTTTTCCTGTCCTCTGGGCCACACACACACACACACACACACACACACACACACACACACACACACACACACACACACACACACACACACACACACACACACACACACACACACACACCCAGGTGTTATTTTCGTTAAGGAGTGTGCACGTACAGCATGTGTGCCTCGTGCACGAGCCTACTATTGAAGCTGCCGTTACGCTTTTGGCCTGAGGGGGCAATCGTGAGCATAAAAACTCAAAAGTTCGTGAAGTCCCTTTAAAATCTGTTTACCTCTGCAAACTTCAAGTCACTGTTAATGAAGGACCACTCCAGGAGCTGCTGGATGGTGGGAACTCCAACCTTGTCCTTCTTGTCCATGAAGATCTGGTAAAAGTAACAGTCCTGGACCTTCTGGCCCGCTGACCTGAAAAGCAAAGGTTCACTTAGAGGTGAAAGCTTCTTCCACATCTTTATTTCTCTGAAAACAAACAAGTTGATACACTAAACATGAATAATGAAGTCTGCAGCTTTTCTTTTGTTCTGCTTGAACGTTTCAGCCTCCCGAGCAGCTTCCCTCTTCACTCCGAGGCTCTTCCTGTTCAACATTTATACAAACTAAAGGAACAAAAGTGACTGTTAAAGTTTAGGATAGGTCCACATTTACAGCTGAAGCATGGAGGAAACCTTTTGTTCTGCAGAATCTAGATTGTTGCCAACAGTGACCACTCTAATAACAGAGGTTTAACCCCTCAGATGCAAAATAAAGAGGAAAAAAAGCGGGTCTGCTTTAAAACATTTCTATGGTTGATCATTTAAAAGAAGATATGAAACAGGACAGATATGTCTCATTGGTGTTTTGCCTGGATCTTACCAGCTCTGTTGGGGGCAAAAACCAAGGGAAATGCGCTAACCATCAGTTGTAATTAGAGCTGGGCGATATGGCAAAAATAGAATATCACAATTTTTCCAATATTTTATCACGATTTCGATTTTATCACGATTTTTTTATCCATGAATAGCATAACTTCAATTGCGTATTAAAGAAGAGCAACATTGAATAAATAAACATTTATTCATATTAGGGATAATCAGCACAGTGCTAACACACTTATATTTTAAACTCACACCAGAGATGATAAAAGCCCTGAGAGAAACAATTACAAAAATCAGTTTTTCTCGTTTTTCAAGTAACTTAACATAAATTAAAATCGTAAACATATTTAAAGTGCAAACATGTCAATTGCAAACGTATTGTGCAAACATGAACTTGTTCAAAATACTATGTAGCTCCCAGTTGCTCATGTAGTGGATAGTTGAGCTCAAATACGGCTCTGATGTGCGGCTGGACCAGAGATCGCTTGTGGTAGCAAAAAACTGCACATTCTGAATATTTTCTGCAACAAGTCTCTAAATAAAGTAAAATTTTCCAGTGCAGATTGGAGACAACCCATAGAAGCACTGATCTGATCTCATTTCAGAGAAAAATAGAACAGGTTAGATGCACCTAATAAATAAAATTACTAACAAACTCAGGAATCTTTCTTTGCTTCACTGTTCTGGTGCTGAAAACATCACTAATGCGGATCAAAGGAGATACACAGATGAATGCACCTCTTATTTATTATTTGGAAACTACATTTACTGCAGCTGGCAGAGGCAGAGATTGTTTCTATTGATACACGGATTTACAGAATCATTTTAAATGTTAATAGGGGAAGACTGCAGGAGGGAGCGGTAAAATACAGCAAAAACAAGAAACTACGAGTCTGATGAAACCCGCTAATTTTCCATCAGGCAGTCACGGGGCAGCTCCAGCGACCCAGTGACCGAGCTCAGTCGGTACCGACACCGGCTCGGCAGAGGGTGGACAAGCCGAGGCGGCGTCGTGCTCTGCTTAAGAAGCGGCGTTATTTTCTTGCTTCAGAAGAAGTGTCCAACGTGTTTTTACGCTTTCTCCGAGACATGTCGCGTCGCTAAGTTGTTAGCGCCGCGCGCTAAGGAAACCCTGCATTCCTCTTCGGAACGAAAACCTCGTTGTCGCTCTCAGCCGCGGCCGAAGCCATGTTTGTTCACACACAGGTGAAAACAAGCGGGGGCCGGGGCACTATGACTCACTCTGATTGGTTAAGGGTCAAACAAAGGCGTGTCATTCGCCTGAGGTAAGTTCCCTTTTCATTCAGAGGCAGAAATTCAACAGCAGAGCTGTGAATCGTGATAAAACGGTCTCTCAAAAATGACAGACCGTCAGATGTGTAGATCGTAAAATGGTCTAAAATCGTCATATCGCCCAGCCCTAGTTGTAATCACACTAAATTAGTACTTTTGTATTTGTTAAAACCACAAAAAAATCCTAAAGTTTGCACAACTTTCTTTGGAATGTTGTCAAAATCTTTTTTGAAATTCTAGCTACATGAGAACGAGAATCTTCATGACTTGTTTTTCATGCATCCATCCATTTTGGGCCACTTATCCGGGGTCGGGTACCGGGGACAGCAGCCTAAGGCAAGAGGCCCAGACTTCCCTCTCCCCAGCCACTTGGACCAGCTCCTCCGGGGGGATCCCAAGGCGTTCCCTGGATAGGTGAGAGACACAGTCCCTCAACCGTGTCCTGGGTCTACCTTTAGGTCTCCTCCCGGTTGGACGTGCCCGGAAAACCTCACCAGGGAGGCGTCCTGACCAGATGCCAGAGCCACCTCAACTGGCTCCTCTCGATGTGGAGGAGCAGCGGGTCTACTCCGAGCCCCTCCTGAATGACCGAGCTTCTCACCCTTTCTCTAAGGGAGAGCCCAGCCGCTCTGGACAAAACTCATTTCGGCCGCTTGTATCCGTGATCTCGTTCTCTCGGTCACTACCCAAAGCTGATGACCATAGGTGAGGGTAGGAACGTAGATCGACCGGTAAATCGAGAGCTTCACCTTCTGACTCAGCTCTCTCTTCACCACGACAGACCGGTACAACGCCCGCATCACTGCAGATGCAGCACCAATCCGCCTATCGATCTCACGCTCCATCTTTCCGTCACTCGTGAACAAGACCCCGAGATACTTAAACACCTCCACTTGGAACAGGACCTCATCCCTGACCCGGAGAAGGCATTCTACACTTTTCCGTCTCAAGACCATGGTCTCAGATTTAGAGGAGCTGATTCTCATCCCAGCTGCTTCACACTCGGCTGCGAACCGCTCCAGCGAAAGCTGAAGATCACGTTCTGACGAAGCCAACAGGACCACATCATCTGTCGTCTCAAGGACCTTCACACAGTAAACATTCCAATCCAGGTCAGTTCATTAAGCCAATCAGTAAAAAGTTTCCTCTATAAGAAACCCAGCAGGTTGCATCGAGTCACTGACTAGTGTCAGAGTCTTTACAGCAATCCTCATACTAAGCAAGCATTTAGCGACAGTGGAGAGGAAAACTCCCTTTTAACAGGAAGAAACCTCCAGAGGATCCTGGCTCAGTATAAGCAGCCGTCCACCATGACACTCACACACAAACACACACACAGTAGTAGCACATTCAATGTCAAAGAGAGTAAAGTGTTATCATCAGGGGAGGGAGAATGTTTAAGTGGTTAGCAGCAGTGTGCTAGCCGATGGCCCCCTCCATGAGGCCACCACAGCTCAGCAGAACATCGTTGTAGCTTCTTCTTTAAAACACAATAAACGGATTCACCTGTCCTCTCTTACCTTAGCTTTAGCAGTGGATCCACTCTCAGTATGTGGTGGAAAAGGATGTTCAGGAACTCCTCGGGGTCTGTTGTTCATTAAAAAAATCTAATTAGATTAACTCGTGTGAGCGCTCCCATCAACAGCTGTGGTCCTTTAGTGTTATTTTCATTCATCATCCTATCATATTTTGCCGTTTCTCTCATAACAACTACGTCATATTTTCCGCTGGCATGTGGATTATAAAGCTCAACAACCAGGACGTGAGAATAAACTGGTGCTATTTCGTAAATCACCTTTTTCTTCAGAGGTAAACCCAGAAGCAGCTTCTACTTTCTCCAGGATCCTCCTGAGCTTCATCACTTTGGTGGCGCAGACGTAGCCGTGTCTGTGGAAGAGCACACGGGAAGCTCCTGAAGTAGCTGCTGACCACTCGGAAACAGCTCGAGCGTATCGCCGTTATCATCCTGACTAGTGTTTAAAACTTGTGTTGAAAATGTGCAAAAATCCAAAATGAAATTCTGCACAAACTGGAGGCAAAAGCTCGACTGACATCTTTCATCAGTTTAGTTAGCGGGTGTCTTAGTTTTAAAGTTAAAGTCCCATAGTCATCGTCACACACTGGTGGCATTCATCTCCGCATGTGACCCGTCCCCACGGAGGGGAGCGCTGAGCTGCAGCGGTGGCGGCGCTCGGGGGCTATTTGGTGGTTTAACCCCCCAATCCAACCCCTTATGGCTGAACGTCAAGCAGGGAGGCGTTGGGTCCCATTTTAAAGTCTTTCGTACGACCTGACTGGGAATCGAACCCCCATCTCCCAGTCCCAGGGCGGACACTCTACCACTAGGCTGGGATTTTTCTTTTTTGTATTAAGTCATTCACAACGAACCGCCGTTTTAACCCCCCCCAGTTTTCTCACACCTCCAGGATGACTAATGGGAAGTGCACTGAGAGGGACTCAAAAAACTTTCACAAACAAAAATGTGTCCAGTGCCCCAAGTAAAAGCATCCTGCAACTAGAAAGTTTGGAACCCCTCGCAACATTTTGGGACATTTTCAAAAGCAGTTTGAATCTCGTCAGCAAACAGGGAGAGTGTGGCTTCAGGTGCACGGCGTGTTTGACAGAGGCTTTTATTTTGAAGGGGCTTAGAAACCAAGTTCACCTGGGTTTTTTTTTCACATTTGCAGATGTCTCTAGTATAAATTAATGCCTTGCGAGTGGATATCTGTGGGAAACAAGCTCTGGCGGTCCCTTTTCAGGAAGTAGAAGTGAGCCAGATGAGTGGGGAGCAGAACACGGTGGATTTTAGAGTTTTATTTCCTGATATTTGGGCGTCTCCCCTCTGATTGGCTAAAAGCAACACCACTCTGCCACTAACTCGGTATGCTCCGCAGCGTTGATGTTTTCTCTCCACAAATAACACAAGCCCTAGGAGTTCTGCTGTGTGGTGGAGTTGCTAATGCTAACATTAGCTTCAACTAGCCTAGACGTGCTCTGCTGATTCCTGGACGCTAAACCAAAAACAGCCTTCCCCGTCCAGAGCCAAGACGGGTGAGTCCATCAATGTTAATTTTCAGTGTGACGTAGATCTGTGTGGCTCTTTTAATCCGAGCGTTTCTCTGTCTAATTACTAGGGCTGTAGCGAAGCCTCGATGACGTCGACGGCTCGATTCTAAAAATTCGTCGACGTCAGATCTGGTAGTCGACGCACCGTGCCCACTTGTTGCATTCCCAGGAGTTTGTAAATAGAGGAGGAATCTGCCTGTTTTTCCCTCTAGTTCGCCCTCTTCTCCGCCTTCAATAACATCTCCGCCAAATACCAAAGACCCGGATCAACGTCCATTCACTACTAGATTCCTTTCCTGTGTTGCCCGCCTTCGTCTCCCGGCAACGGACAACAACTTCCGGGGTCAGATGCGCTGCTCCGTCTCTACCGCAGATGTAGAAAATCACCGGGAGCGCTTCTCCCTTCATAAAGGAGCTTCTTTCAGACATTAGGAGAGCTGTTTTGGTGCTAGCAGTCTCTCCTCCGTGCTGGTCTGTTTGCTGCTGGGTGTTTTTGGTTTATTTAAACTTGGTAACTTGAACTTAACGATAGAAAAGCTACTGTTAGCGTTTTCGCTAACAGCTTCTTGCTTTTGGACAAGCTGTTACGTTTTGGTTTAGAGTTCATCTTTTTTGCGATGTAGATCTCCCTTTTATTACATTTAGAGTGTTGTGGGTTTTTGGTTTCGTTTATGATATCACCTTGAGTTTGGTTTAACCGCCCAGTTTAGAGTTTGGACCTTTGGAGATCTTTATTTTGGTCCAGAACCCAGTAATCTTTGCCCAGTGGGACATCCCCAGTTATTTGTACTTTTGTTTTAATTCCCCACCGGCAGAATTAGTTTTATTATCCCAACCTGTGGATGGAAAGATTTATGTGTTTTTGTTGTAAATAAACCTGATCATCATTTTAACTTTTAAATCCCGTTATTGTCCCTTCCTTTCTGCACACGAGCCAAACTCCCCAGGAAGAGTCGTAACACCACTCGCCTCACGCACATAAGTGACCAAAACAAAGCAGCATGGAGACACACCATCTTCTACCACCTCTCAGGCAGCAGCCTGCTCTCCCAAGTTCTACACGTCACCAGAACATAACCAACCAACACAATAAAAGCAGTGTTATACAAAATGGAAGGCCTGTAGTGTTTATTCTCTTACAATAACAATCTATCGACATTTTTTGAGGAATTTCTTAGAGATGTTTGGGTTTTTATTAATTGTGCAATAGAAAAATAATCATTAGATTAATCGTCTAAATAGTCATTAGAATAGTCGACTATTTGATAAAATTATCGTCAGAATAATCGTTTTAAAAATAATCGTTTACCCCCAGCCCTACTGTTTACCATCTGTGACTGATCGTTTTTTCTAAAATAACAAGTAAAAAGGGTTTTTCAGTGAGCCTGGTCTAGTCGTGCTTGTTCTATCGGATATCTGACAAGCAGTGAAACTGATGCAACGACCACGGCAGGATGAACGTTTTCCTTTAGCTGTAGCAGACGACCTGTGTGACCCTCATCAGCAGAGACTACAAGTTTAAATTGTCCCGTTTGAATACAAAATAGAGTTCAAATCAAACTGTGATGAAGTGATTTGGGTTTGAAACTTCTGACCTTTTTTCTACAAACTACACTGATTGGTGTGCCGATCAGCTGATCGCAGCGGCGGTCGTTACGGTGACTTACATGCGCAGCGGGTTGACGATCTCTGTGCGTAGCAGCTCCTGGGTCTCCCGGTAATACTCGACGTCGGTCTTCGACCGCGGCCTCAACAGAACCGTGTCCAGAACAGAACTAAAGGAGAAAAGACTGCAGAACAAACCCCCTCCCCGTTAAAACCTGCATATTCAGGATCGTTCCATGTGACCCAAGTTCTCTAATCTGAACAGGAAGTGACCAGAAAAGGGTTGAATCCAGGTAGCAGGAATTGTAGTGGCCCTGAATGCCTTTCTTCTTCCCCACCATGACATCCAGACCGTCGTTTTCCGTACGAGGAGGAGTGTTTTCGTGTACCACCTCGCTCAGATACCCCCCAAAGGCTGCCAATGCCACAGAGAAAACAGAGAAAACACATTTTAGGGAACAATCGTTGCGTGTTTGCACCAGTCAAAGGCCTCGTTCTGACTCACCAATAGAGTTGCAGCGTTCGATGGGATTGGAGGAATGGTGCAGGGACGGGAACCGGGAGTCAGGCCGGCAGCACTTAAGCTTCACAAACAGAGCCTTTTTGGGGGGGCAGGTGAAGTAGCGAGTACCTTTAAAGGTGCCGTCGGTGCAGCCGGGACACTCTTCTTCCTGAGAAAAATCATCCAGTTTCACTCCTGCAAAGTACTCCTTCAGCGTTTTACCTAAATAAATCAGATTTAGGACGTTCCTCTGGTCCTACCGAAAGGTTAACGGGAAAAATATTATGGGAAAAGGGGCAGGTGCAGAGTCAGATATCGGTTTTGTCACAAAAAACTAAAATCAGAGCATCTGTACAAATAAAATATATGATAAATATGGGTTTGTGACGTCTCACCAGTTCCAGACCAGCTAAAGGCTCCAGCAGGCCCGGAGGCAGACCCACCCAGCGGATTACGCCACATAGAGGGGGGTTCTCCTTCACCTCCACCAGAGAGCCCACCTCCAGACCCGGCTGTCCTCGAGGAGGGGTGGAAGGTCGTGGAGAGGGAGGGGCAGCGGGCGACGGGGGTTCGGGCTGCTCGCCCATCACAGACTGGACGGAGAGGGAGATGGGCCCTTGACTGATATTTTCATTGGGAACGGTCTTCCGGTTCAGGCTGAAGGGCAGCGAGTGGAACTTGTTGTCGCTGGACAGAGAGGAAGTGGGCGGGACTCTGGACGGTGGGGAGGACTGGTTGAACTCGGGAGGCGTGTCCGTGAGGGACTTGGCGGGGTCTTCTCCAACTGTAGGGGAGACACCAGAGATGAGCAGAGAAAAACAGGAAGTAGATCAAAAATCCCCGTTTGACCCATCGTAGAGGAGGAGCTAGTTTAAAATACCATTTATTAGAACAAATCTCAACATCTTGAAACATCTTCACATGAAACAGCTAAAGGTGTGGTTCACAAATTTACTCGACACACCCGCCGGGGTCTCTAGTAGGAGTGAATGCCTTGCAGGTCACACTCTGGAGATGTAAAGCACCGGCGTAGTCAGGGACTGGAAGTGTCAAATCAGAGCTGAGCATCAGATGACATTTCCTGATATGTGGACATCTCGCGTCTGATTGGCTAACAGCAATGTTAGCCAGCAGTGCTGACAGGGCATGTATGAATGTTCAGTGACAGTGTGACGTAGATCTGTCAGGATTTTCTAATCCTAGAGTCTCACTGTCTGTTTTTGATCTGAAGCTAATGCAGGAGATAGGTGTAGGAGACTATCTCCACGTTCAGCCTGCATGAAACACTCAGAGTGACCCGTTAGAATCAGAAATAATTATTAAAACATGGTTTTCTGTGTTCCACCTTTAATACCATCACCTGCTAAGAGGTGGTGATTCTGTTCGTTAGCAAAACATCTAATTCAAGATGGCTGCCACTGCTCATGTGTTTTAGCTAGCACACAAACAACGTAGCTCAGTTTTGCAGCCACTGAGCTACAATTTAATGTGGTAGTAGCTGGGAGCCATTTGCACTTTAAGCTGTGACATCAACTTCCTGTAACCCTTTAACTAGAAGGTCAACAGCTTGGTAAATTTAATCCATCCATCCATTGTCGGCCGCCTATCCAGAGTCGGGTCGCGGGAGGCCAGGGAGGCCTAAACTTCCCTCTCCTCAGCCACCTGGACCTAGCCTAGTGAACTAGACAAAATTCTTGCTTTGCAAAGTTTGGTCTAGGAACGCTCCATTGGAACCTCTGAAGCCCCAACAGCATTCTGGCTGGCCAATCACAGCTCTCTAGAGGGGTTTCAAACACAGAAAGAGCTGTGATTGGTCCATAATGGTGGGCCAATCATAGTGCTCTATTTGCTTAGTGAACAAATCACAGAGCTTTATCCGCTTTGTGGACCAATCAGGGCACTCTATATGCCTGGTGGGTGGGATGATACAACAGAGTGAAACAAGAGTATGTCACATTCATTGTTCAGTGGAATGCGGAGATCATTTGAAAGACAACGGTAGAACCCGCCCCACAACCGAGAGCCGTCAATGGAGCGTTGCCAGACTAAATAATACATTTATTTAGTCTGGCTTGCCAGGCTAACCTGGACCAGCTCCTCCGGGGGAATCCTAAGGCATTCCCTTGCGGTCGTGAGACAAAGTCCCTCCACCGTGTCCTGTGTCTTCCTTTATGCCTTCTCCTGGTTGGACGTCCCTGGAAAACCTCACCAGGGAGGCGTCCAGGAGGCATCCTGACCAGATGACCGAGCCACCTCAACTGGCTCCTATCAATGTGGAGGAGCAGCGGGTCTACTCCGAGCCCCTCCCGGATGACCGAGCTTCTCACTCTATCTCTAAGGAAGAGCCCAGACACCCTGTGGAGAAAACTCATTTCAGCCGCATGTATCAGCGATCTCGTTCTTTCGGTCATTACCCAAAGCTCATGACCATAGGTGAGGGTAGGAACGTACATCGACCGGTAAATCTAGAGCTTTGCCTTCTGACTCAGCTCTCTCTTCACCACGACAGACCGGTACAACGCCTGCATCACTGCAGATGCAGCACCAATCCGCCTGTCGATCTAAAGCTCCAGTTTTCCCTCACTCGTGAACAAAATTACTACTAAACTCGAAAAATAAAACAAATGATGTAGATGTTTAGATAAAAAGTAAAACTTTTCTCCCTGTTATTATTAACTTCATATAATTATTATTTTGCATTAATATGGAATTTGAAACCATATTGCCACAATCTATTTTGAAATTATCGTTTTTGAAATTTTTCTTGTGCCCTTGTGGTTTCCCTCTAAAAAGGTGCTAGACTAAAAACTGTTGTGTTGATAAAAAATCAGAGGGTGTGTTCCAAATATAGGGGGATCACACTCCTCAGCCTCCCTGGAAAAGTCTACTCCAAGGTACTGGAGAGGAGGGTCCAGTCAATAGTTGAATCTCAGATTGAGGAGGAGCAATGTGGTTTTCGCCCTGGCCGTGGAACTGTGGACCAGCTCTATACCCTTGCTAGGGTGATGGAGGACTTTGCCCAACCAATCCACATGTGTTCTGTGGACTTGGAGAAGGCTTATGACCGTGTCCCCAGAGGCACCCTGTGGAGGGCACTCCAGGAGTATGGGGTGGATGGTCTTTTGCTAAGGGCCATTCAGTCCCTTTACCAGAGGAGTGCGACTTTGGTCCGTATAGTCGGCTGTAAGTCGGACCTGTTCCCGGTGAGGGTTGGACTCCACCAGGGCTGCCCTTTGTCACCGATCCTGTTCATCGCCTTTATGGACAGGGTTTCTAGGTGCAGCGGTGGTGTTGAAGGTGTGGAGTTAAGTGGCAGGAGAATCTCGTCTCTGCTTTGTGCGAATGATGTGGTCCTCCTAGCTTCATCAGGCTCTGACCTACAGCTCTTGCTGGGGAGGTTCACAGCTGAGTGTGAAGCATCTGGGATGAGGATCAGCACCTCCAAGTCTGAGACCATGGTTCTCGACCGGAAAAGGGTGGCTTGCCAACTCTGGGTCAGGGGGAGAGGTCCTGCCTCAAGTGGAGGAGTTCAAGTAACTTGGGGTCTTGTTCACGAGTGAGGATAGGAGGGAGCGGGAGATCGACAGGCGGATTGAGTGACGCAGACGCTGAACTGGTCTGTTGTGCTGAAGAAGCTGAGCTCTCGATTCAGTCTATCTACCGTCCAGTCCTCACCTACGGTCACGGGCTTTGGGTGATGACCGAGGGAACAAGATCGCGGATACAAGCGGCCAAAATGAGTTTTCTCCATGGGGTGGCTAAGCTCAGCCTTTGGGACAGGGCGAGGAGCTCGGACATTCGGGAGAGAATCGGAGTAGAGCCGCTGCTCCTCCATATCGACAGGAGTCAATTGAGGTGGTTTGGGCATCTTGTCAGGATGCCTCCTGGACGCCTCCCCAGGGAGGTGTTTCAGGCACATCCTGCCTGCAGGAAACCCAGGACACGTTGGAGAACGTACATCTCTGAACTGGCCCAGGAACGCCTTGGGGTCCTGCCGGAGGAGCTGGTGGAGGTGGCCGGGGAGAGGACGGTCTGGAACTCCCTAGATGGGATGCTGCCCCCGCGACCCGGACCCGGATAAGCGGAGGAAGACGAGACGAGAAACTTTATAAAAAATTGCTTTTATTCTTTGAGTGGAGGTTAAAAGGGCAAAGCAACGCCAGGCCTTTCATCTTGATGTATTATGTTTCTTATCATAATGGTTCTTTAAGACCGAGCCAGCTGCTTGGTCCAGACAGACGTTCTGCAGAGAGAACTTTATTTTCACTGATATTAATATTTCTCGTTAGCGGAACAAACAGAAATGTTTTCTAGTGAATTTTGCTTCATGCTCAGTAACTTTCTGTAATCTCTCCTCCTGCAGCAGCTTCTGTCAGACGAGCCCAGCCCAAACAGGTTCTGTTGGGTGTGGGTCAGGTGACAGAGGTGTTTCTGTCAGACCAGGGGTGTGGTTGTGAGTTGTTGTTTTAGTAAATCAGAGCTTTAGCATGTCCTGGGTGTGCAGCGTGACATCACCACCACATCCTCTAAACCTCGCTGGTTCCAGAGGGGTTCTGTGACGGGAGACTTCTTCTACCACGGTGGACCTCCAGGGCCTCCATCTTGGATATTTTAGAGGTTTCTCTGCTCCAACAAACCTGGTTCTACGGTTAAATTACCTGTTCGGCAGCTGATCAAGCTCTAATCAACTCTGATAAAACAGGGTATCTGCGGGTTTAAGGGAGCCAAATTTAAGACTTTTTAAGACCTTTTATTAAGGCCACTTTGACCAAATTTAAGCAATTTTTTAAAATTAAATTTAAGCTATAATTTCCAGCTACTGCCTGGAACCGGTGCTAACCACGTCGTGAACGTGGGATTAGCCATCCAGTTACCATTAAACTTGCACTTCCCCATGGCACAAGCTCCCACTAGCTTAACCAGCTAATGTGCTCATTTAAAAATAGCCCCCTTTCACACCAACTGAATGTGTACGGTTCCGCTTACGCCAACATCACACACAAAAAATGCTGAACACTAACTAGAAATTCACAAAATTTTTATAGAAATAAAAGTATCTTGTTTATTGGGTCTTTGGTAATTTAAGACCGTTTGAAACTGGATTTAAGGATTATTTGTAATTTTAAGGCCTTAAATTTGGAAAAGCAAATTTAAGACTTTTTAAGGACCCGCGGATGGATACCCTGTAAAAAGCAGGTGTGTTGAAGCAGAGAAACAACTCAAATATCCAAGATGGCTCCTTGGAATGCTCTGAATGAGCGTGACCCGGAGAACATCCACCAGCATCCTGTCTGCAAAATTAATCATCATTCAAGATCATCAGAGATTTTAAACCACAATCAAAATGTTTGTTTCATAAAAAACACAAAGAAATACGAATTATTCTCATTCACATGGATGAAAATGAACACCAAAAAATAAATAAATAAAGACAATGAAACACCAGAACCATGGGGGCGGGGTCTCTAACTTAAAGTAAGCAGTTGTGAAAACAGCATTTAAGACTCGACGACACAAACGAGGACCTTGCTGTGAGATTAATGAAATGCAGATTAAATGTGTGATTTTTGTCCGAAATCCAAAAGAAATCAGAAATATAAAGTTGTTTTTTTATCAAACCAGCCATCGCGATCCTTTAAAAGCTGCTTCACAACTGGTGACGACACGAATCACCTGCGTCCCAACAAGACCCAAACCAACAAAGAGGAGACGTTGTGCCGATTGGAAAACAAAAATGAGTGAAACTGTTGATTGAAAGCTGGAAGGAAAATAAGAGTAAAGTGATGATGAAGCACAAGACGAGTGGAGAGTCTTCAGCGCAAGCTCCTGCCACAAACCCCTGGGTTTCTGCTCCGCGGGACATCTTCACATCCACTGCTGCTGCTGATTAGTGGAACAATCAAGTTGTGGGTTTGTTGACTGCAGGATGAAACCATGAATATGTGATTCCGGGGGAATTCCAATAGTCTGAAGGTTTTCTCTTAAAAACAAAGACACATTCACTCTGGTGCTTACGTCTGAACTACATTAATCATTTCCTTTGATTTATAAACACTTATTAAACCCGGCACGTCTCTTAGTTCCTGTTTTAGACATTAAAACGGTTTGGATTTCACATTTATTTAGAGCGTCCCCTCTGGATGGCGTCAGAGGTTGTAGCCGTTACCCAGAATGCAATGCGAAGGCCGGAGCTTGTTCTGAGAATGTTTTCAGTAAATAATAATTTAGATGTAAGATCGCTGCGTTTGGTTTCGTGTGCAGTTTGGCTAACAGACGGCTGCTCTGACGTTAACTCGTTCACTGCGTGTTTTTACTGTGTGGGCGTCGGACGAGCCCCCGCACCGTGAGAACAAACATCTCAGCTCTGAAGCCGAACTTCATGCGCGTACGTCACACGTCACGTGATCAGGAAGCAGAACATCCATGTGTCACGGTCTGCCCTGCTCACTATTCATTTCACTTAATACACTGCAGTAGTCCCAGTTCTGTGTTAACAGGTGGGCGTGTCGGAGAGCCAGCTGTTCCTGATCACCCTGATCAGAGGGCCTGGGGTACTTAAGGAGCGGTGTGACACAACTCCAGTGCCAGCTGATACTCGCATCTTGGGTAAACACTGGCCAGTGACAGTCTCGTTTGATGTTCTGTTTTAATCTTGTCTGCCCGTTCCAGTCAGCCCCGATCTACCGAGTCCTGAAGGTTCCTGCTCGTCTGTTCTCAGGAATCACCCACCGCCGTCTGGAGTTATTGTTCCAACATCACGTCGCTCACCGTCCCCCTGGTCTCCTCACTCTCCGCCACCCACCTGTCGTCCTGTCCGCTTCCCAGCCTGCCTAACCACCAGCCTCCGGACCTGCATCATATCCTGCCTCGCAACCTGTTTCCTCATCCCATCCTGGATCCTCACTCTCTGCTGCTTGTCTGTCCCCACCTGGCCCCAAAGACCCAGCCCTGCCTCACCAAGACCGATCATCTCCAGTAAGAATAGCTCTCCAAACAATTCCAGTTCTGGTTCTCTGGTTCCAGGGTTGTGTGATCCTAACACCAGTTTGCTTTCCCGTTCTAGATCACGGTCCCTCCTGTTCCCGTTTGGAGCAGCGTTTTCAGTTACACGTCGTTCTTAATAAATATTATTTGTTATTTACTTACCATCGTTTCAGTCTGTGATTCTTTCATGTCCTGGGTAAAACTTATTCCCAACATGACGCCATGTGTTAGGAGATCGTTTTGGGCCGCTGCTGTAAAAAAAGTGAGGCGCGAACCGGAAAAGCTTCTGCCGATCCCAATTCAACAACGGATTATGAAAGAACGGATAACGCTCGAAAAGCGCGGATTCTTCCTGATGTAAGAGGCGAGTCTCCGCTTTGTTTTGGCATCGACATCATCCTAGCGCGCAACGTTCTGTCACTCTTAAAAAAACAGTAAAAACGGTGAGAAACGCTGGCAGCGAATGAGTTAAAAGTGGATTTTTCCATCTTTTCCAAACAAACCTAAATATCTACTGAAACGTTTGTGCAACTCAAATCAGCCATCGTTCAACTGCCGCCACGCGCTTTAGTCGCACCCTCAACCGTCCCCTCAGACATTCAACTCTGTTTCTCCAAGCTGAGGTGGTTCAAAAAGCTCGTAACTTAGTTCACCTCCAATCCTGGTTCCCCCCTCCTGCACACTTTAGTAGTTTCTCCACCCCGAACGCTGAATTACCTGTTCAGTAAGAGGCCTGTTAACTTATTCACCCCAGGTGTGGTGGAGCAGAGAAGCATCTGAAAGCATGGTGGTCCTCAGGCACCGGGATGAGAACGAGGTGCTCAGCCTCTCGTAATTTCAGACGTTTGCATGAAGCGTTTTAACGTTTTAGAGGATGTCTTAAAAAAAACCACAGGACCAAAATGAATGTGTCTTATTGTGAAGACGCCTTCGGGAGCGTGTGGGAGCGAAACCCATCAGCCTGCAGCCAGCAGGAGGTTGCCAGAGAGACAGCTGACGACCTGCAGCTTTTACCTTCATCAATGTACCATGTGCTTTTGGATTCGGACTGGGCTGGGGGATCAAGAGAGCTGCCATTTAAAGTATAGTAAAAGTCAGACTTGCTTCTACTTCCACACTGGTGGCCTAATCCTGCGGGCGACACAAGTACACGAGGAAACAACAAGGGAGGATAGAAGTGGAAACAACAGAAAGAGAGGTGAGCTTCACGTGCAGACTGGCGAGTCTGAAGTTACTCTGGCATTAAAGATTACATTACTCTACGTAAAGTGATTACTTAATCAGCAAATAGGAAGAGTTGCTACAATAAAAGTGATTTTATGTAACTTTCAACAACAAACGTCAAGTTTACAGCTACTGAGCTTAAAATGGGTTTCTTTTACTGACCTAAAATGTTCCAAATTCAATTTAAAAATGTATTTTTAGCAAAGAAGACTTCGTGAATGGTTTCTGTCACTGGAGAAAGACAGAAAACCTGCATTTGAAAAGCCATAAGAATCCAGTTCTGGGTGGAAGAGATGGCTCCTCGCTAGGCTGGGGATGTATCAGTTAGCGTAGCAGACTAGCAGCAGAGGTGTACCTTTGTTCTTTGGTTTGCTTTGGCCAGAGGACAACTTGTCACTGCTGCCCCGAGGGGCAAAACTGTGCTTTTGTAGCCTTTGGTCCTGCATGGAGTATTCTGCAAAGACATGCATTCACATCAGAGACACGGGAAACAACATCAGCCACGGATACTTAGCTTAGCGTTATTTTAGTGCGTGTAACGTCAGCCTTGGATAAAGCTCTTTGGAGCAATTACTACTGTAAAGTGTTACATTACAAGCTCATTAATACCAAACAAGGCTGTTTTTCAGAGCTGAAATGATGAAATAACATTTTATCAGCACAGAAATGTTGCAACAATAAACTATCCTAAAGTCTGACGAAAGTGGGCAGCAGCACACATAAACTCATCAATATGCCAGCGTGGAGAACAAAGAGCCAGAGTCTCTCACTTGACTTTCAAAAACAAGCGAGCCACGGCCACAAAAGGCTCTCTGTTCCCGCCACAGGCAGAAGACAAACTCAGGCGGCTCGGATGGAGCTCAGTGCCGGTCCGCGGGAGGGACGGCCTCCAGAAATCCAGAGCGTCTGCACAGATGTGCGCTAAAAACCGAGTCCAACAACGACGCCACGACTCACCTGGCATTACGTCACAGATGGGGACGAGTCGAGTGTGCTCCGAACTGGCAAAACTACACAGCAGCTTTCCGTCGATCACGCCGTCCCAGTCCCCGATCGGATTGTCCTGAAAGAGTTGGCAGGCATGAGACAGACGCTCCTCATCACCAGTGCACAGAAGTTGGTGCCACGAGTTCTAGTTCCTATTGATGTTCAGCGAGGTTAAGTGTCTCGTTGCACAGACAAAACAATGCTTCTGCTTGATCCTCCGTGCTCCGATCATCCCAAGCGTTCATCTGGCCTGCTCCATTTAACACAACGCTGTTCTTCTTCAGACTAAAATCCAAGACTTTTCGTCTTCAGAACAAGCCGGGATGAGTGTGAGGCTGTTGCCACGAGCAGGAGAGGGCAGGGCGAGGCTGGACGCAGAGTGAGGCAGAGCAGTGGGCTCTCCTCAGCTCCCTGCTGGCCCCGTGCCATGCTGTTGGGTCATACAGCACTGAAGTCTACCTCACTCCCGCGTGACCGCCTTGCCTTTAGGCTCAGATGCACTGAGCAGGCTGCTGCTAACGACCACCAGTCAAATGCCACAGTTATGCATTTCAATCCCAGTACAACAGCGGCGCCGCCACACAACGGTAGCCACAGATACCAGCGACTACGAGACTTTGTGAACACATGAGGTAGTTAAACTGATTAATAAAATCATTCATAAACTGGTGTGTGACTTAAAATAAAGTCTTTCTGAAGCGTGTAAAAGATTGTTACAAATAATTATTTTTTACACATTTAATAGCTTCCTGAACAGCCTCTGTTCAGTGAAACAGATGGGCTAACAGTTAGCCTGCGTGTTTACGCCAACAACAAGCGTTCAGGGAAGGTCAAAGGTAACTAGACTAAATATCAAAACCATTCAGGGGTCAAGCACAGAAGAAAGTCTTTAAAGTAACACTAAACATTTTCCTACGCCTCCACCCAACTGGTTGAAAGTGGAATTACAACCGTCGTAAACAATCCTGCTGCAGCCTGCTGTAGCTAACGCTAACAATGAGCTAACGATAACATGAGCCAACAATACTTAAATAAACAATAAAATAAAAAGATCCACAATGTTGGACAAAAATATTATTACTTACAAGTCCAGCAGCAACAAAGCCAGGCCACCATCAGTCTGTGATCTCACGTCTTTCTTTTGCTCCCTCAGACTCAGCAGTAAGTCATCAAAGTTCACTCAGGTTTAACTCTTTGCTTCTTCTCCAAAGACATTCCTCTCTGACTTTACTTCCAGTCTCCAACATGATGCCAACAAAAAAGCAAACTTCTCTATTTGCTTCTTCTTGTGTTGGCAAACTGAAAGTGCTAACAGCTAGCCTTTAAATTAGCTCCTGGCACAGGAAATAGCTAACAGCTGTTAAGCAGGTAAAGAGCGCCCCCTAGGTTACCTACCTGCTCCTCAAAACTGTAAAGTGCTGTTTCTGCTCAGTAGAGGGCAGCAGAGTGGTGAAGTTTCTAAACACAATCACTGAACCCAACTTTAAAAGAGCAAGTCACCCCCAAATCCACTTATAGAAAAGGTTCTATACAGGTGTGGATGTTAGGAAGCAACCAGGTGTGGCTCATCAAATGTACCTGATCAGCTGATTATCAACCACATGAGGTCATTATTTATTTATACAGCACCTTCCACTCACTTTGCTCAACACCAACACAGAAAGAATTAAAGAGCAAGTCACCCCAAATGCACTTTTTTTTCTGATATAAGTGCGTGTCTAATCATGCTGCAGACACGTGTAGTCAGTAGTTTTGCACTTTAGTGCATTTTAGTTAAAATCTTAATTTTCTGCCTAAAACTGTCAGTGTTGTGCCGTTGTCAGGTAAAAACTCTGCTCTGCATTTGAATTTAAATCTGCCATCGCTATTGGCTAAGAGGTACCCTAGAATGTTAGCTGGTACCATATGATGTCACAATGTCGTTGAGAGCATGTGTGTGTGTGTGTGTGTGTGTGTGTGTGCGTGCGTGTGTGTGTGTATTTGTTAGTGGCTCCGCCCTCTCTGTCTGCTAGGCAACAGCATTTGTTGCACTTTTCAAACAGGAAGTGGGCGTGGAGTAATACTCTGGTGGGGGGTGACTTGCTCTTTAATTGTGTCCCAATTTGTTTGAAAATGCATCCTCATTTGAGACTAAACGTGTTCCCCGATCCTTCCCAAAGCTGCCCAACATTTCTCACAAAGAAAGCTAACTTGAAGGGTTGGAGACGACTCCCACGAAAACTCTGGGACGAGTCTGGGAGGAAATCCGAGCGATTTGCCTTGCAAATGTTTGGAGACATCCTTGAGACTCCCTCACAAACGTCCTGCTCAATAATACCGACAGTATTAAGTTTTGTCGACACCGCAACAACAACGGGTTGCATCCAAATCAAAGAAACAAGATCAAATAAACATCTCTAGTTAGAAGGGATTTACGTAGCTTGTTTTCACAATAATTCTCTATATTCTGACAAACGTGTGGTTGAAATTTGAAGTAAACTCTGTAATAATTAGTGTTTCAATTATTTTGAACACAGATGTCAGATTTTCAGCAACATATTGAACAGAAGCCTGACTTACCATGTCCACTCCCACATAGTAGCCCAGGGTCTCGTTGCCTGGCAACAGATCACAGAAGATGATGGTCCCCCTCTCCGGCCCCTCTATGGTCTGCACCACAACACGAGAGTTGATCTCCAGACGAGGAAAGTCCTGATCGTCTTCCACCAGCCGGACGCGATCCACCTCCAGCCGACCCAGAGACTCGTCGTCGTCGTCGTCGTCCTCCCAGAGCTCCAGCTTGTCCAGGGCCACAAACACGCCGCACTCTTCCTCACAGCGGAAGAGCTGGCGGCCCTGGTAGGAGCCCTCCGTGAAGCCCTGGCCCCGACCCTCCTCCTGGAGGAGGAGAAGCAGCAGAAGAGTTTCCAGGGTTAGAAGGAAGAGGGGTGAGAGAGATGATTAATTTACTGTCATAATAAGGAGGGCAGGTAGCGAGGCTGCTGAATCAGCCCTCCTGAGGAAGTAGTCGACATGCTGAAGCAGAGAGAGCATCTGATCGATTACTGCAGCAACAACACGGCTCGACTCAACGCCATAATAAAACCATTCATCATTTTCTAATACAGACACGGGATGTTCACACAAAGTGGACCAAAACACATCACGTAACTTTATTCTCACACGAGCGCCCTGATGGCCTTTCACCAGGCTGCTGCTTCATCTCCATCAGCCCACTCAGGAAAACTACAGCTGGACGAGGCATAAACACAACATTGTGCTGCAATAAGCAGCGCATTGTCTCTACTGAAACAGCTCTTCTTAGGGTCTCTAATGACCTTCTGACTCACAGTGATGCAGGGGACTGTTCTGTTCTGGTCCTGCTGGACCTGACTGCAGCCTTTGGCACTGTTGACCATCACCTGCTACTGGAGAGGCTGGGAGACTGGGTAGGCCTATCAGGATCTGCTCTGGAGTGGTTCTCCTCTTATCTCTCTGAGCGCTCCTTTTCTGTGGCCGTCTCCAAGTTTAGGTCCTCCACCATCTCCCTTACCCATGGTGTCCCACAAGGCTCTGTGCTGGGGCCTCTGCTCTTCCTCCTCTATCTGCTTCCTCTTCAGCACATCCTGAGCTCCTTCAAAGGAATCTCTTACCATCTTTATGCAGATGACATCCAACTGTACGTCTCCTTCAAGCCCCATGAGATGTCTAAGCTGCAGCTGTTACACACCTGCTTAGACTCTATCAAAGCCTGGATGGCTGGGAGCTTTCTTCAGCTGAATGAAGATAAGACTGAGATCCTCATCTGTGCCCCAGACAAGCTGGTTCCCAAAGTCAGAGACTCTCTTGGTCAGCTTGCTTCCCACACCAAACCTTCTGTTAGGAATCTTGTCGTGACCTTTGACCCAGCTCTCACCCTGGATTCTCATGTCAGTTCTCTTGTTCGCTCTTCCTTCTTCCCTCTCAGGAACGTTGCTAAGCTGAGTCCCATTCTGTCCCGCTCTGAACTTGAGACAGTTCTCCACACCTTCATCTCCTCACGCTTAGACTGCTGTAACTCTCTTTTCACATGTCTGAGCAGAACCTCCCTGAACCGTCTACAGGTGGTTCAGAACGCCTGTGCTCGGCTTCTGACCAAGTCCTCCAAACACACCCACATCACCCCGCTTCTCCTCCAGCTTCACTGGCTGCCAGTCAACTTCAGGGTTCATTTCAAGATCCTGGTTCTGGTCTATAGGGCCTTACATGGACAAGCTCCATCTTACATTGGTGATCTTCTTAGTCCCTACACCCCCAGCAGGTCCCTGAGGTCCAGTGATCAAAGCCTACTGGTTGTGCAGCACCAGGCTAAAGGTCAAAGGTGACAGATCATCTGCTGCTGTGGCCCCCAGACTCTGGACCTCTCTCCCCCTGAGCCTGAGATCAGTGGACTCAGTGGTCTCCTTTAAAAAGCAGCTGAAGACTCACTTGTTCAAGCTGGCTTTTGTATGACCTTCTTCACCTCTCTCTCTTTATTCTGCTCTCCCCACCTATTCCACCTTCCTCAGGATCCACTGATTTCCCCTCTTTCCTGTTCACTCTCTCTCTTTCTTTACATTTTTTAATCACAATTGTCTATTTTTGCTCATTTTAAATATATTTTTAAACATTTTCTAAATGCTTTTTTATATTTTTACTTTTTTTTGTTTTGTTTTTGTGAAGCGCCTCGTGATTTTTATCTTGAGAGGCGCTGTAGAAATGATACTTTCTTCTTCTTCTTCTTCTTCTTCTTCTTCTTCAGTACTTACTGTACTGCACATAGAGTCTGGGATTAATAGCATCAATGATTTAGCTTTAGCATTGAGGGAGCATAAAGGAATGAAACGATGTCTTACATCAGCCAACACAGCTTTATGCTAACCTCTACATGAAAATGACTTTCGTAACACGAGTATGGCTACCTAAGCATTCCTCTGTAGTGTAAAAACAACCCAAACTGTAAATGATGCAATCAGCAACGGACTTCATCAAACTTTCAATTTAACCTCTGCTGTGTTGTTTTGTTGGTCTGGGAGGAAAAACGCTCAAAGTTAAGAGAGTTATGGAAAACGTGAGGCGGCCAATGTGGCAAAAATATAAATCGTTTTTGTGAAATTACAATTTATCACAATTATTTATTCTTTTTACCTGATTTATTACTGAATAATGCAACTGCACCATCTCCTTGTTTGAAAATTAGACCTCAACAAATTGCTAGTAATAGTTAGCTGCCTAATGCTAACATGCGCTAGTGATGCTAACGTATTGCGTGGTTAGAAATTTTCCTAAGTGCGCGTTGTGGAAATTTTGGGCCATGCGGAGACGCGGTGGAGGGGCGTGGTTGTTAAAATGAAGCAATTTCGCCGTGCGAAGCCGTGCGGACCTCGCGGACTCGTCAAGCATAAACCAACCTTAATACTCGTAAAACAACATGTTTTAGCTGTTTGTCGGCTACAGAATCACATAAATAAACAGAAATGTGAAGTCGCCGTCTTAAATAAACAAAGCAACAGATGTTTTGTGTGATATACTTATCAGCCACTAGATGGTGCCATTGGATAAGAGAAATACTCCGGAAAGAAGCTTTAAGTCGGACACATTTCCCGACATGTAGCTCGCGGGTGACGATGGATGAAGATATCGCGTTAGCCTTCATACTTGTTTAATTTTTTATTTTAATTCTGGAGTCTGTTAGCAACCAAAACACATCCTCACGTGCTTGTGGATATCATATATTGTACATGAAGACATGACTGTAATAATAAGTAAAGGTCATCAGCTGTAGGTTTAGTGTGCTCATAGGAAACGTGACTAATAACACAAATCACATTCCTCTTTACGGCCTATATAGTTATCATCAATGTCACATGATTTACAGAATACATGTGACCAACTAACATTTCATGTTCTACCACCGGATGGTTGGATCAGAATGTGAACCAATCAGATCTTAGATCAGGTGAGAGCCAGGCGTTTCCCGTCATGCCCTAGGTTTTGCAGCCGGTGGAGAGCAACTGCAGCGCCTAGCTCCAAAATCTGCGGCCGCCTTGATCTCACGAGGTTATCGTTGCCTACGTATGCATGACTCAGAGCAAGTCGGCGTCAAGGCAGACACAAATCTAACCGGCATGCACTGCGCGCTGATCACCGCTGATCTAATCTGCGCAGAACTGGCTTATCTCGAACAAGCCCTGTGTTTCTCTAAAGAAAGTATATACTGCTGTACTTTTATATACTTCATTGGCTTGCTTTATGATGGCTTTTTTAGCTTGATGTTTGCAATGTATAAATCTCTCCCCTCTCGAGTTGATTTTGAATGCTTTTAATGTTAAGCGCACTGTTTTCATTGACTGGGACTCTATTTCCCATGATGCTCTGCTGTATTGAGCCACACAGGTGTTTGACTGTTGTGTGACGGGGTGAGTACTCCTTCTTCTCTACAACATCTTTGTGAGATCTTCATTCCAGGAGAGGGCACTCACCAGCTGCGGAGCATTACCGATCAGCGGCAGCTGCAGATCCTCTAATCAACCGCAGCAGAGCTCTATTTAAGAGGAGAGGGAACCACTTCACATGGCTGGATGATTAACTACTCACGGTAGAATCTTGCCACTCAGTTCTTAGGTTATGCTTGGTCTCTGCTCAGACATTCGTACTGTCGCAGTTTTTGGATTTATCTGGTTTTTTTGTGCTTGGATTCTCGTGTTTGGACTCAAGTTTGTTTCATCTTCAGGATACTTGGAATCGCTGAACCATTGGATGTACCTACCTGGAAGTCACCATAACCCGCCTGGATTACACTCTCAAGATTCGCCTCTCCTCCTGCTCCACTTGCCCTCTGCCGCCATAATCTGGCTCCCTCTCCTGGACACACCCCGTCACACCGTCTGCCCTCCCTGCTGGCTTCTGGACTCTTGCCGACTACTTCGAACTTGGATATCTCCAGGACACTTTTAGTTAGGTTTGATAAATCATTGTTTGAACTTTCTGCTTTTGTCCTGTGATGGTTCTTCATGTCGTGGGTTAAACACCTTCCCAGGGACATGACATTGACATCAACCGTCCTGTTTGTGTGAACCTCCACAACTCCTGATTAAGGTCTCTGACCGAAAGCTCGACAAATAAAGCTTGGTTTATGCTTGACGCATTCACTTTCCGCTTGGTGATGCGGCTCGCGGATGGAACGCGCTTCGCAACTCGCAGCGTTTATGGTTCATGCGGCTTGTCTCTGCGGTGAGCCAATATTCTCCCAAACTGTAGGGGGCAGCATGGAGCTCTACGGCATGCATCCAACACTACACCATAGTAGAAGTAAAAATTACTGTTGTTTACAACATGGCATTCCAGCATTTTTTAACAGCGTCCTCGTCTTTTCCGACAGTGCGAGCTATTTCTCTCCAAGAATTATTAACAACATGTTTATCCCGGTGATCTCTGACAGCTGAATCATACAAATGTCTGTATTTACGAACCTCTGCCATACTAGTTCTTGCCAGTCCGTCATGTTTTTCCGTGTCCGACCATCCGTGTGGATAGAAAATTTCCTAGGTGCGCGGTGCGGAATGTTTGAGCCGTGCGGAGGCGCGGTGGAGGGGCGTGGTTGTTAAAATGACGCAACTTTGCCGCGCGGAGCTGTGCGGACCTCGCGGACGCGTCAAGCATAAACCAAGCTTAAGCTCTCACAGCGCAGATTGAAGTGTGCGGATTCTGATCTTTTTAAACTTTATGTTGTGCAAATGTAAACTGCTGGTGGTGTGGAAACGCGCCGTGCTGACTGAAATCTGAACTAGTTGGAAACGGAGATTCCCCGTCGACGACGTACTTCCGGTTTTTGTGAAAAAGTTCTTTAGGACGGTTCATCGGGCTGGAAATGAATCCAA